TTCACTACATGAAAAATGGCTTTCACACCACTTCTAACAACACCCCAAGTACTTTCCTCTATGCCAGGGAATCTGCCCAGCATTTTATAAACATTGGCTCACTAAATGTGTAGGTAATCATGTGTGATCTTGTATGTCCATAGGTGGATGTTTATGTGTGCAGGTGCTCACAATCATGTGTACATAAGTGTGACTGTGTGTATGTATGCATCAGTATGTGTGCACATATATGTGAATATAGAGGCTCACTAGTGGCTTCTTCCATGCTACCCACCATCATTTTTCAGGAGGATTTTCCTGAAGCTGCAGCATCTATTCCAGACTCACGTGGGCAGTGGGCGCTAGCAACTCCTCTGTTTTTTGCACAAATGTCCTGAGTTTAATTACAGGTAGGTATCATGCTCCTTCCCCACCCTCTAGTCACCTGGCAGACACACCCTACTTCACATAGTCTTCCTGGCTTGCCAATTGCAGACTCTCCGCTGGGTCTCCTCACCGGCTCTCCTTCACTGTGGTCCCCCTTGCTCCTTTGTTACTACACTAATCTCCTAAGTGCTTTCCCTGCCTCCACATCTCTCTGCTCCTGCGCATACTTTGTGAGTGAGCATGCCAAAGTGCTCTTTCTAATGCATGCATCCAATCTGGTCCTTTCCCTGGTTACCAAGGGAACCAGATGCATTGAATCTAAGCTCTTTCAGTTTTAGAAAAACAAACAAACAAACAAAAGAATGCATAAAGCTGCTTGCCCTGGCTCTTCCTCTCACATCAGCATCTTTATCCTCTTCCCATCCTCACTTGATCACCCAGCTAGGTCTCTTCAGATCTCTTTGCCTTTGTCCTGACACCCTGTCCCATTGTGTCTTTGCATGGTCTGGTCATTTTGTTTGGAAAGTCCCGTTTGAACTGCTATTAACTTCAAGTTTCAAGTTCAGAGTCATCTTTCCTGCGAGTTCTCATTGATGCCCTTTGGTCAGGGAAGTCTTCATCCTACCACTCCTGGAATACATTACCATTGCAGCATTTAACCACATGCGCTGTTTATCTACAGGTCAATGCCACCAGCCAATTATAGCTTCTCTGGGTGTAGGGTCCCTGTCTTCTTCGTCTTTGGATGTCAAGCACCAAGCATGGTATTAGGCATATCTGAGGAACCTGGTAAATGCTTTTTGAATGAATGAATAAATGAATAAATGTTATATTGCCTCCCCAAACCAATCACTCTAGCCATAAAAAAAATGGGATGCTTCAGTTGACTGAAGCCAGCAGTGCTGAATGCATATGTGTGGGGAAAACCAATCCTGCCAATCACACGGCCAACAGAATGAGGTGCTTATCAATGCAGAGGCAACCATATCATCTGAAGTTGGATTCAGGGGCATCAGGTCAAGCCTGTGCCTCTGTGGCTAGGCTTCAGGGGCATCAGGTCAAGCCTGTGCCTCCGTGGCTAGGCTTAGGGGCAGTATGTCAAGCCTGTGCCTCCATGGCTATTTTTAGCTTCTGCCCACTGTGGAGTTATACATATCCCTATTCTAGCTGCAAGACACTACAGTGTTCCCAGAACATCAGGAAAAAGGGAAATGGTCTTTATGTGTGTCTCTACATGAGAAGCTTTCAAATGATGCTCTCAGAATTCACTAGTTAGTGCTGGTCACAGTCATAGTTTTGCGTCAAACTCTGGTAAGTGGAGGGGTGAGATCTGTGGCTGAGCTTAGGCATGATTCCCTGCTAGGTTAGGGATAGAGCTATTTTCTATATACTCCCATGGCAAAAAATAATGATCCCAAAATGATCAAGGTTTGACTGCTAAGAGAACGGGCAACTGAGCATTGACTAGGCAAGCTATAATAAGAAACAAAGAACAAGCCTATCAGCATCCTGCTTCAGTCACCAGGCCCAGGAAATGAGCACACATTCCTGCCTTCTGACCACCAGCCCCTGAATTTCTTTGCTTGAAGTTTCTGCCAATCCTTAAAGCCTCCTTTGCTACCCAGGCAGCCAGCTAGGAATGCTGGGAGCCCAATGTTCCCAACCTAGGAGCAGACCTTAACCAATGGTTGCCCAGAGTGTTTTCGGCCAGATTGTATAGAGGTCCAATTGTTTTCATCCCTAGGAAACATACTCTGATGTTTGCTATGCATGGGCTTCCAGAATGTTCCTAATAAAATTCAGTCCTGTTATGCACTGTGGCAGCTGGCTTGACCATACACCTCCAACAGTTGCTTTTCTTTCACCAGATCACATCTTTAGACCATTATGGTGTGTGTGTCAACTCTTTTCATTTCTTAATTCAGAGCTAGCATTTAGGCAGTATCAAACAAAGGTGCTCTCTGCCATATGGCCAGCGCCTCCCTGAGTCTTTCCATCTGTGGGGAATGTGCTTTCTCTTCACCATCTCAGCATCAATGCCAGTTTCCCTGGGATGCCTTCCCTACCCCCACCCACACCTATTCCACCCCATCCCACCCCAGCCCATCCCCTCTCCACTCCACTCCCACGACACACGCCTAAAGCCTCCCAGTGCCCAGGCTTATACTCTATAATTTCTTGTAATGGTTATATTTCTATTGTTTAACTCTTTGCTTCCCACCTTTACCCTAACTAGACTTGACCTGCTGAGGGCAGGGATGCTGTCTTCACTCCCTTGCGTTTATATTGTTGGCATCTACTACAATGGCTGGCATAAAACTGAGCCACAGACTTAGGGGCTTTTAAAAAAAGATGAACCTCATGAGGAACGAAGATGTAAATTCAGGGTCATTTTCAAAGGTGGAATTATCAAAAGTTGAATGAAAAGAAGACATTTTATCCATGTGATTTTGACGTAGTGCTATAATTATTTCCTGTGGTAAATACAACTTTTCCCCATGTAAAGAAGCCCAGTGTCTGAAGGGGAATCTTGACATGGTTTACTAACATCTAAAAAAGAGGTCATATTGTATCGTCTTTGTTTTTTTTTTAAGATTTATTTTGTATCATTCCATTGCTCCTCCTACTCTTCTGGTATCTCCTTATTCCCTCTTAAATTCATGAGTTCTTCAGTTAAAATTAACACACAGACACAGTCTTTAACATTATATGTATGGGCAACTTTAGAGAGATTCAACAGACTGAATTTATGTATACACACACACACACACACACACACACACACACACACACACAAGCTTGCCTCCTAGGCAGACCTCCCAGGTTCCTTCTCCTGAGACAGGAAGTGAATGCAGGTTTTCTGGGGCATTAGACATAATTTCCAAATCTCTCTTTATGGAAAACAGCCGCTCTAAATTTCAGTGTAGCACACAGCCTTGGCCAGAAGCCCCAACTGCAAAGAGCTCTCAGGTGTAATCTTTAATAGTTCACACAAAGTAGGATTCTGGCTTGGTTCAGTGACACCAGGCTCCTCTTACTCCATGCCCCTGACACATTCACGTGACCATCATGACTTGTTTACACAGCTTCTTTACTGGGGAAGTCTCCCTCCTTCCTTTGCCAGCCCTGAACCATGTTTTTGTTTTCCCACAGAGTTTGGTCCCACAGAATCTCTTTCTCCCTTTCACTGTGAAGGCCCACAAACTGGGGAAGTGCGGCACAAATTGACAGGTTTGTGCACATGGATCACACTTTCTCTCGCTACATTGCTCATTTTATTTGGGGGGCTAAGAACAGGTTTTGCACCTTGATTCCACTCGGCACTAAAGGAAACCCGAAGACCCCAAAACTATGGTCAATAAACAGACCTCAGGCTTCAAGCAGCCTGCCATCATGAAACTCTAGAAAGCAGCCAACCACCATCGTACACACTGGGGCCCTGAGGTCACAAAATCAGACAACCTGACTTATGCCCCACTCTGCAATTGCAGAAGCAAGCAAGCAAACAAACAATTACAACAACCAAAAAACCACGCTTGATGCAGAAAAGCTAGGGGAATCCAGGCTCTCCCCATCCCTTTCTAACCACTAAAAACAAACAAACAAACAAACAAACACAAGCAACCAAACAAGCAAAAACTCAGTTCTCAGACTCTGCTAGCTGACTCATTCTCTTGCACCCTCCAGTATCAAGCCACAGGGTTTGAGGACTAACTAATCTCTTAGAGCAATAAAAGTTAAGTCTTGGCATTTTGAGGTTAAATTGAGTCTATTTCATTTCCCTCCACCGAGTCATTTCTTACAAACTCTCTGCTATACTCTGGGTACAGCGGAAGGAGGGAGATACAAAGGAATGCTCCAGGAAGCAAGGTGGTGAGCTTGGGGCCAGCACTGGCTTTGCCATTTAGAAGGATGAGCCCTTAGCACAGTGGTTCTCAACCTTGCTAATGTTGCAGCCGTTTAACACAGTTCTTCATGTTGTGGTGACCCCCAACCATAAAATTATTTTGTTGCTATTTCAAAACTATAATTTTGTTAGTTATGAGTCATAATGTAAATATGTGGCAAGCAATTCCAAAGGGGTCGTGACCCACAGGTTGAGAACCACTACCTGGTCACATAATCAGTCAGAGTCAGATTTTTGTTTGATCAAAGGAATCTAATGATGATATTTACTTCACATTCCCACTGGGATTAAATTAAAGTATCTATATTTAGTCCCTTTCTTGGGTCATTTTATTTTTTTGTCTCTAGAGACTTGGAATAAATTTGAATGAAGGACCTGTGTGAGTCAAACAGTTCAGTTGGGAGATAGGAAATCTGTAAAGGAATAGGATATTACTAACAGATCCAAGAGTAGAGAATTGTGCCCAATATACAGTTGTTGTATAAATGACCAACACAATGAGGACATTCAGAAAGGAAGATAATTAACTTTGCAAAATAAGTAATGTCACATATTTGTATGATCATCCTCTGGTAAATATAATAAATCGGACAGTAGCCAGAAAATGTTGGAAAATGCAATAGTTTAAAAAAAGAAAGAAGGAGAACTAAAGGAAGGAAAGAGCAAAGATCAGGTGTGGGGAGGAAGGCCTGCAGATGGGAGAGAACAGGCGACATCTCCTGCCTACCTGGCCAAGTGTGCACTCCATGCCACCCAGGAAGTCAGCCTCCTTCAGCCCATTGTGGTTGCTGCTGATGTCATGGACTTCAAACCGGAGACGCTGAACCTCTTCAAAGTAAAAGTCCACTGTAAACAGTTTGGAGTACACCGGGTTTATGCAGGTACGGATCACCTCTGTCCTGTCCACCTGAAAGAAGAAAGAGAAAACCCACAGGGATTAGGATTTTGTTATTAACCTTCAAACAGATTGATCTTGTGACACATTCCTGTGTTCCAAACTATAAATACCCTCTGGAGAGTCATTAGGGCTGGCAAACTGAAACTCTATCAGCTACTCCAGAGAATAAAATAAGTGTTGGTGCAGACAATTTTCCTAGACAAGACAGTCTAAGGTTCCGTGTTTGGAGATTTCAATCATGTTATAGGGACTGGATGATGGAACAGAATGAGATCCTCATTAGTGCAGGAGAGCCTGAGAGAACATCTGGGCTCAGTCAGAAAGACATCTGTGATCAATTAGTGATGTCTGCTGAGCACAGTGCTGGCAAATGATAGGTTAGCTGTCTCATTTCAGCCAAGTCTCCTCTAAGAGCGGTTGTCTATCTCAAGATTCCCAGAGCAACAAAGAGGAAGGCCGTGAGAATGAAGATCAAGCTGCCTTTGTTATCATATAGGCTCACCATTAGGTGGGCATTCACCCATTCACTACAATCCCTAGTCCTTCGTTTTCTCGTCAGCTAATGGGCAACTAGAGGAGAAAAGTATGAGAAGCATTTACTGTTCCAACACGCCATGAGCTGTCCTTCTTCCTGTCTCCTGTCTGGCCCCTCCTCCCAGATCCAAATCTAAAGAGGTGGACCTCAATACAAGAGTTTCCTGGGTTCTTCTGGGAGGGGCCTGTAGAAAGAGGGCTGGGCAGGCGATGAGAGAGTGGGGGAACAGAGAGATTCCTGCCCGCCCACACACATACAGATGTTGTTGGAGTCTCTTCCCCTCCATCCATCCAGAGAGCTTGTGCTGGGTCCTGGTGACACCAGCCCGCATCCTTTCTTGCCCTCTCCATCTCAGGCTTTGCTACTGTTTGTTTTTAAGATTTTAAAAATTATTATTTTAATATGTGTATATGCGTCTTTGTGCGCATGTGTGTATACTATGTGAGGGCCATGCTTGCAGACTCTAGAGGGCAGTACTATCTCTCCTGGAGTAGTTAATAGCCTGATGTAGGTGCTAGCAACTGAACGCGGGGCTTCCATTAAGTCATCTCCTCAGCACCTACTTTTAATTTTGAGAGAAAGACAAGGTCTTTCTGTGTAGGATGGCTGGGAATAACTGTGTATCTAGGCAGCCCTGGAATGTATGTTAATTCTCTTGCCTCGGTTTCTCCCTGAGTGCTGGGGTTACAGGCATGCAATGTCACATCTGGCCTTTTGTTCCCACCTCTTGCCCAGTCAGATCAAAGGTGGTCATGGCATTTTGCTGTGATACTCCTAATGTCTTATCTGCCTAGGTTAGTTCTTTGCTCTTGCCCCGGAAGAGTTTAACTCTCTAGGGGCTCAGCTTCACGGGCTGGGCTCTCTCTGGTTCTGCTCTGTTTCCTGCCCAGATCTGAGCCACTATGTTTCTTCTCTTTTGCATTTGTCACACAAAGCCATTAATGTTCTCGGAAACCCGAAAAAGAAAAATCTTTCAGCAGTTTCCAATGAGAGAGAGTGGTTCTTCATGCTCCACAAATCAACAGGAGCCCCCTGCTCCTACAGCGTGCCAGCTCTCAAGTAGACTCGTCTGCTGACTGCCTCTCAAGTGCTGGTTCTTAGCACAAATTAGACCACCACTTCCCTGCTTTCCCATAGGTAAGGGAAATAGCAACCTTTCAGAGGAAAAAGGCCTCAACCCTGTCATCCATGCCAGTGTTGCTTCACTAAGACAGTCTCGCTCTATCTGTCCCTCACAACACTCAACACCTTGACCCTGGCCCTGGCCACCTGCCTTCTCATGCTGGATTCTGTGTGAGGGAACATAAGGATGAGGGGCACCTGTCACGCATAGATGGGTGAACACTCCAGGTTTCGAGGAAAGTGAAGGCCTAGCCCTTGTCGTGTTACTATGTGTGCATCAGAAGCCCTGTCTTAGGGCCACTGTGCTTAGGATTTATAAGTTGTTGCTCAGATTGGTAGTTATTTAACTCTTCTGACACCCCATTATTCAGCTCCTATTTTAGATGAATTTTACACTCATACATAAACACATACACACATACATGTGTACATATATGTATACACACATATATACGTACATACACACTTACACACACATATAAACTCATTTTGGGGGCAGAGTTGATCCTTCCACTGACTGAACCTGTATAAGAATTTACTGTCATATTTTTTGACTGATGTTTTTTCTTGTTCTGACATCAGAATACAAGCTTGCGGATCACCAGTTAAGGGTGATATGGAGAGAGCTCTTTTCCTTCACTCAGTGTGTTTCCCCATCCATCTCCAGTGGATAACGAATTGTTTTCTATTCTCCATTTGGAAAAAGATATCAGAACAGCTGACAGCTGGTGTGGGACAATTCTGTATTTTGTTAAATAAATTCTGTTTGGTCAGTAGCCAGGCAGGAAGTATAGGTGGGACAACCAGACAGGAAGTAGAGGTGGGGCAATGAGAACAGGCATATTCTGGGAAGAATACTCTCTATCTCTCATGGAATGGCTCCAATTGGCCCTGAGAAACCTGTTTTATTTTTAATATCTTGTCCAAATGCATAAAGTAATGAATCACAAAATGAGAGTTAAGTGTATTCATTTGGTATCTTTTGATAGAGAAATTGGTTACAGGTAGATCCGGCTCTTCAGGGCAGAGAAAAGAATATATTCTCCCATTGTGATTGAACAAAGAATATCTTGGATAGGCTCAAATGATGAGAGACAGGAAATGGAGACTCTGGTTTTTGTTACTTGTGTTAGATACTTCAGTTGATATAAATGGGTCATTTTTTTAAACTTTCAAGTGTAATTTACACATTAAAATATGGTTCATATTGGCATTAAGCTACACATCTCAGATAGGCTATCCAAGGTTAGTCACCATTATGCAACCCTATCCCATGGAAATGAGAAATGGGAAGAAATAAGTAATATGTATGTACTTGTGTAGATTATGATCTGTAATAATAATCTGCAGCCAGGAGCAGAGTGCTCAGATGCAGAGGGAAGGTGGTGAGGAGAAAGCTCAGGAAGGTTTAAAGTTTTCTGCACCCCCAGGCATTACGAGAGATGCATCACCCTTCCGTGGGCTGAAGACAGTGTTCCCAGGGCAATAGTCTCGAGCAGCGCATGCTCCTCCATGAGGGATGTCACGTTCAAGGCAAGTGTCTCTAAAGATCCTTACTAACAGATACTGCGAGCTCCCATGAGGGATCATTCCTTAAAACCACAACCCCTGACTCTGTTTGGATGAGTAGAGGGTGGGACCCAGCAGGGCAGAGTCTTAAAAGCTCTCCAGGCAGAACAGCAGCTCCTGTGGGCCGGGCTTGAAGGTGTGTGCCACCGCTCTCTGAATGTCCTAGGCAGTTGTGCTGTGGACTTGGTCAGTCTTTGAGAAACAAGCTGTCCCTCCGTGAGGTGAGGTTCTTATTGTTGTTAAAGTGTGGTTTAATCATGCTTGCTCTCTGTCACGCAGTTTGCAAGGACATCAGTGCTTATCCAGCTTCTCTCTTCCACCATCATCACGAATGCTATACCCATAGTGCCTTGGAATTCTCAGGACATGCTCAAAGCCATTTAAATAATTTATTGTATTTATTTGTTTGTGTGTGTGTGTCTACATATGAGGGCACTTCTGCCGAGATCGGAGGATACTTCATAGTAGTCGGTTCTCTCCTCCTGTCCTGTGGATCTGGGGAACTGAACTTGGCTGCAGGTGCCTTTACCCACTGATCCACCTCTCCAGCTCCCATGCACATCCATGTGCTCACTTGGGTTTTTGCAGCACCCATGCATGATAGCATTATACTCTTTTCCACCTGAGACGATTCCTGGACATATGTGCAAGGTGCTAGATGATAATGTAGGCTCTTGAACTCAGCCTGCTGACTGGCTGCATCACCTGGCCCTTATATCATGTCTATGCATGTCCCTTGTGGATAAGTAAGTATGGCTAGGTTATGGAGAGATGGGAAGAGAACCCAGCCTCAAATAATCACAGCTAATGATGCTCTTTGAAAACATTTCATCTCAAATGGTTTGTAATACAGTGACTTTCCAATAACTATTTTTTTCAGAGGTTTTTCAGAGGTTTGCTATACCATGGAGACTAAGTAACATGCCAGTGTTACTAAAGCATAATTGCCACTAAGAATAGTCAACATTTTTATAAAGTTCATTCTCTGTGCGTGCTCAAGTATATGCATGTAGACCATATGCATGCAGTGCCCAGGGAAGCCAGCAGAGGGTGCATGATCCCAGGCTTAGAACTGGTGTTGCAGGTGGTTGTGAATACTGGGAACCAAACCCAGGTCCCTAACAAGAGTGAAAAATACTCTTGACTACTGAGTCAGCTCTCCAGCCCCAAGAGTGTCCCAATTGCACTCTTTTTTTAAAGTGTGCAATTCAATGTTCTTATATATGCTTGCATTTGTAAAACTATAACCATGGTCAAGGCCATGAATGTATCCCCATCTCTCCAAGCGTTCTCATTATAACCTCCTCTCAGCTCTCTACCTCATCCTCAGGAAACTGGCATTTGCTTTCTGTCTGTAGAGATTGTTTGTAACCCCTGTACCATGACACAAACACTATATAACAGGCATATTAATATGTCCATACCACTTATCTTTTTATCTTTCAGCCAGCATATTTATTTTGAGTTTTGTCTATTGTTGTCATATGGCTTGTTCATCTGGGAGTTGGAAATAGCTCATTTGGAAAATTCTCACATGTAATCAGGAGCTGAATTTGCTACTGAGAACCTGCATGGATAATGGGTGTGGTAGCATGTATTTACAACCCTAATGCCATGGGGAAGGAGGAAACAGGCAGCTCCTTGGGTTTGTTGGCCAGCCTAGCCTAATGGACAATCTTTGGTCCAATCAGATATCCTGTCTCAAAAATAAGGTGGATGGCTCCTGGGGAACAATGTACAATGCTGTCTTCTGGTCTTTGCGAGCATGTGTATCCTCATATAG